TGAAGATATAATTAGAAAATGAACAAATCTGAGAGAGGTCTACCTGAGGTACCTATATGTATAGTATCAAAGAATCAGATTTGCAGTTTTTAACAAGAAGTCGAAAATATCACTTTTTACCAAAAATGACAAAAATATTCATTAAAATTAGAGAATTAAAGATATCATCACGAAATGAACAAATCTAAGAGAGGTCTGCCCAAGGTACATACATATATACCAATTATCAAAGCAATAAGAATTGTAGTTTTCAAGAAGAAGTCGAAAATGTAAAAAGTTGACACGAACGATACCAGATGACGACAGACAATCACTCATATGTGATTTTATAATATTTAGTTTGTTTCCAGAATTAGCCACTCTGTTTGCCGCCCTCACCTCTGCCAATAGTTTATCTCGCAATGCATCATACTTCTCTTCTAAGGCTTCCACTAATTCATCTTCTGAAGTCAGTTGTTGATGTGCAATGCCAAACATGATACTGGCAACATTGTCATACCATTTCTGTGATCTTGCTATCATTTCTGCTTGCTTTAGTTGTCTCAGCGTTGCTGCACTCTGTGTAGAACAGACAAGACAGCAAGGTAATAACAAAATGATTTAAGTAAAACAGTGTGACATCAAACACTGATGATAACTCCTTTGAATAATCTCAACAAAATAAAAATCAGGTACGATAGCGATCTTCTAGATAAATGAAGAAAAACAGACAATTGAATTAAATCCAAAACACCAAATATTAATTCTACAGACACAACTACTTGCGTATCACATATCAATGTAATTTGAACAGCTTATTTTTACAATGTTATCACCATGACTGCCGTAGAATCATGAGATCACATATTATCACCATGACTACCACATTGTTAGAACATACAATGTTATCACCATGACTACCATAGAATCATGAGATCACATATTATCACCATGACTACCATATTGTTGTAAGAACATGCAATGCTATCACCATGTCTATCATAGAAACGTGGAACCACACAATATATTATATATCATCATGACTACCAGAGTTGGTAGAACATAAAATAATATCACCATGACTACCATAGAATAATGCAAACACACAATATCGTATCACCATGACTAACACACATTATTAGACAATACAAGATATTATAACTATGGCTACCATAGTTGCAAGACAAATGATCTTATCACCATGACTACCATAGAAGTTAGACCATGCAATAGTACCACCATGACCACCACATGTATGTACTCTATTTTTTGATTACTTTGAGAAATATAAAAATATTATTATTTCACCTGACTATGCAGATCAGCCATCAAATGTCTACTTTCTTTATCTTGTTCTTGTTGTAAGTCAGCCAATAAGCTAA